ATAAAAACTTTTCTCCCGGCGAAACTGACGTGAAAACAGAATTCGTAAGTGTTCAATTACAAGTAATTAATTATAAACGGTCAAGGATTAAATTACAAGCAAACGCATATAATTTATTCCTTATCATTAGGCGCCTATGAAATTTGTGTTTAATAGCGATTATGAATGACATGCAACAGCTTATAATTAATTCCTTATCATGAAGTAAACGTGAAACTCGTGTCAATGAAGAAGAATCGAGCATTTTGATATGAATGCATGTGCACCCTCCGAAAGGATTTCTGTTACCGAGACGAAACATATCCTTGACGCATTTATATTTCTCACAACCTCATTTCAGTATAAAAATAAGGCAATATCAAAATAAAATCAATAATTCTTATTCTCCTCTATCGAATTAAAAAGAGATTGACTTACTATATTGAGACAAGAGTAACTTTATATATCCTTGCGTTTAGAATAAATTTTCCCACCGGCTTACAACGCACGAAGTTGGCACCGCGATATTCGACGAATGGCTATCATTTTATTCTAGATTTTTGAATTTTTCATTTAAAATTAAAATATTCCCTTCTCTATAATAAATATGATTGGCGCTACATCGATCCTATTTCACGATACCTGGAAATTTTTTCTGTGGGTGCGGAAATAATATCTGAAGTAAATTCTGGCAAAACAAATCAATTATTTGCGACTATTGCAGCGTAACGGAGTCTACACGAATATGAGACATTCGTTAATTAAATTAGATCAGAAGCACGCGAATTAGGGCAATGCGTACAAGGGCATTGTGTAAAATCAAACTTTCTATCGCAGGTATGGCGCGATAATCACCGGTCGTGATTAATATTTCGATCTCGATTAATATTCAACGGGTCGATCGGGCCGCGAGAGAGCTCGAGGCGTCTCGAGGGAGCCTCCCCTCGAGGCGAAACGATGACCGCGCGACGGTGAAAGGAATTCCGCGATTCTTATTGACAGGCGCGTCACTCGAAACGGTTCTTTCGGCCGGAATCGGGAATGGAACTCGCTCGAACTTGCCTCGTTATTGAGTTATTATCGTCATCGCGGCCGGATTCGCCCGGGTAAAACTTTCTCTCCGTTCCACCGCGACGATTTGAGGATTCAACGCAGCCACGGAATTATCGGGAGTCTCGCTAACTTATCTAACGTCGAGAAAGTTAAAAAAAAAACCTCCGAACAGCCTCCGTACATACCGAGATTTCATGAAATCTAAATACTTAATAATAATAATAATGCCATTGTTAATTCAGATTAAATTAGTTAAATTAATAGCGGGAGGTATTTGATAGCAGCTCTCACAAATAACGATATGAATCGATGATAATTTAATGCGATATTATTATTAACTTCATTTACTATTAAACAGAGCCACGATAAAATTGCTATGTTAATTCAGAAGCGCGGAATGTTTCTTGCGAAAACTACAGCGAAAAAGAGGCCTCCGTCCGCGATGTTTCTCAATTAATTTGGCAACCGCGAGCACGCGGATAGGCTCGTCCGTGTCCCAGGATCAACGAAAAACGGGCCACCTATGGTCGCGGGCGAGCCCGCCATGGCGATATTCCGGCGCGAGTATCTCCAGCGGGGGAGGCGCGCAAACAGCAAAATTATTATGCCACCAGCTGCGCGCTCGTTAATTACGTTTACATTGAATATAAGTCACCGTGCGCGCGAGCCTCCGTGTTATTTTGCGAAATTCGAGGACGGCCGTGACGGCATTACGTGAGTATTGTTCCAAGTGCGCCCCGATACCGCGTGCGCGTTGCTCGCGAGCGTATCCCGCGTCGTTAACAACGGGGCTGTGTGACACGCGAAATGCCCGCGTACTTACGTGCCGAACCCGACACTCGGCGACAACCGCGCGATCATCGCGCGCGCTCTACGAGACGATTCACTGAGTCACGATACACGATTTTGCATTCGCCGCGAATCTAACAAAGTGCGTTGAGCCAACGGCACACGACACCATTCTTCCCACTGGATTGCCCACGAGAGCCAATCGGGATGCGGAGCTCCATACAGCATCTCGAGGTAAACTTAAGACGATCTTAAATACGAGATCCGACCATGAATATCGGCCTAAATTTCATTTCACGTTTCACTATTTGCGTTATTATTTGTCGTTCAATTTCCAAGTTTGGTTTCTATATAATATTTGTCTTGCTGGTCATTTAAACGTACGTTTCGCTATTCGTCTTATCCAGTCTCGCTATCAATTGATAATTGACTATATATTAAGAATAATAATCATTAATTATTATTAAACAAATATTATTAGATTAGTTGCCTCTCACTTGCTGCTTTTCCTCACAAGCCCACGGAGCTTCGTCGCGACTTTCGACGTTTCGGTGATAAATTAAAAGGCCGCGCGCTCGAGGCTGCATGCGCGCACACAAGTCGCACACGGTTTTTAATTTAAACGTACGTTCCGCTATTCGTTTTAGCCACAGTCTCAATTTGATAATAGACTATTAACAATAATAAGCATTAATTATGATTAACAAATATTATTAAATCAGTTGCCTCTCACTTGCTGCCTTTCCTCACAAGCCCGCGACTTTCGACGTTTCAGTGATAAATTAAAGGCCGCGCGCTCGAGGCTGCGCGCAAACAAGTCGGACACGTGCGTAAACCAGGCGCAAGTCGGATATATCGACTGCCCTTCGTCCGCTATTTTGCATTTAACAGGGCCGCGCCAAGGACAACGGTTGCAAATGCATCGACATAATAACGCGATGTCGTGCATCGCGTCGATCAAGGCCGTCCGTTTATTTTTTCTTTTTTCCCCCCCAAGAACCGTGCCCCGAAATGTCCGGCGAGAGACCTCGACGCGATCCAAATGTGGCCCGGCAAATTAACGTGGCGCGGGCGACGAATTCAAATTCACCGTGGCTTTCCGGCGATGTTCTCACCTCTCGGATGTAATATCGAATTAATGGAAATATTAAAGTAGGCACTTTCGACTCGCACGGCTTTTCTCGTAGATGTAAAGCCACGCGGGGAGAAGCTTTTCCCAAAATTTATCCTGAAGATCATGTAATCGGGGGGACAACGTGGCATTTCGGAGAAATTTATGTCTTCTTTGAAATTTTATTGTACATTTTACGAGGGGGAAACCGCTGAGGGCATTGTGGTGTACAAATTTGCGGCGTTACTGGACATTACTGGACATCACTAGGCATTTTTGGGCATTAGTTTGGGCCTTGCTGGGGCATTGTGTACATATAAAATAAGATAAGATAAGGCAAAACAAAATAAATACGATAAAATGGGATAGTAAGATAAAGTAATGCCCACTGGGCATTGGTGTATGTACAAGATTTTGGTCAGCGGTTTTCCCCTCGACATTTTACCAGTGGAAAAAGACTCGTAAATTTCTTCGAAATGCCACGCTGTCCCGCGATTACATGATTTTCAGGATAAATTTTCAGAGAAAATCCTCGCCGTGTACGTATATGTATTTCATTCTATCAATGATGGCTGTTATTGACGATAATTGGAAAGTCGATAAGAAAAGGTTGTCATCGATTTACCGCTATTACGGCGCAACGGCGCGCGCTGCAATAAGGAAAGGACGCGGGATGTCCTCGGGTGAAGGTATGAAAAGTCCCAAGGGACGCGTGCAAAATGACAAGGCGACGTTTCGCGTTCTCGTTTAACGCGAGCGCGCGGGGCACTTTATCCTCTATGCAAATTCTAAATTTCACCGCGGGACACGCCGAGTGTGTGTACATCGCGTAAATAAGGGTGTTGTATTAGATAGCCGGACGCGCGCCGAGAGAATGCTGACCGTTAGTTTGTTAACTCTCAAACTGCACGTCCACGGCGGGAACGTGCTTTTCACTCCGAGATCGCAGGAGGGGCGACTCTCTCCCTCCCCCACCCACGGGGTTTCTCCTTACGCACATTTCAAAGACATGAGATACGTCTCTCGCGCTCTTCCGCTTCGAAATTGCACGAAAATAAACGGAGGATATCGAAGGAGGAAGCGCACGTAAGGTCCTCTATTACGAGATAGGTTTCTAATATGAGATAGCAGGTTTTCAACATCCAGATTCGATCACAAGTAACGTAGAGAATTATTTCGCGCCAGTGCACGATTGGCCAACGTAGAGAAATTGTTAAACGACGCTAACCGGCAAATTCTAATTAACCCTGGCTGAGGTAATACCTTTCGCAAATAAATTTCTTTAATTAGAATGTCCCACGAGGGGGGAAACGCCGACCAAAATCTTGCACGCTAATGCCCACTAATGCCCAGTGGGCATTACTTCATCTTATTTTATCTTATTTTATCTTTATAATACCCCAGCAAGGCCTGATGCCCAAACTAATGCCCCTAGATTTGCCAGTCGTTCAACAATTTTTCCACGTTGGTCCAGCACAAATCTTTTTTTTTTTCGCAACGATTACCGACAATGAATTTTTCACTAAACAGACTTCGCTCCGAGGGCAATGAATACACGGTGGGATCAACCCCGCTGTCCCATATTAGGCTCCTATCTCATAATAGGCGACTTTCCTCTATCAATGACCGTAAAATCAAGCGGCTGGCAGCGGATTGTAACATTTTAAGCACGGCGCTGGCACTGTCGTGGCTCTTCTATCGCCGCTCCGCTGTTAGGGAACAAGATTGCGACAGTTAATTACGAGAGTCAATAATGAAAACCCAGGTTTAAACGCGTAACGACGAAAGCTCAGAATCGCTGGCACTTTTTATCGTTTAATTCGTCATTGCATATCACGAGTTGAAAATTTCCCATTATATCGTAAAACTTGAATATTTTCACATGTATCAGCTGCCCGATAAGGTCTCAGCCTCTTCGGACGCGCGACGCAATCTTCTTCGTAACAGAAAAGAAAAATGTGCGTTATCGCGCGACAGCGACAGCTCTCCGTTTAAAAGCCACGGGGCAGCGCCTGCCGAGCTGAAAATGTCGCCGCGAGCCGGGCGAGGAAACGTGGATCGTACTCACCTCGATAAGGTGCCCTTGAGCAGAGGATTCCTGTCGTCATAATATCCGCCGCCGGACGAAGGCATCTTCAAGTAATCCAAACAACGGGCACGTGGCACTGGTCACTGACACTACGGCACTGCATCACTTTGCATTAATTGTACGTGCGATCTGATCGAGTGCGGTCAGCTCTCTCTCTCTTTCTCTCTCGCTCTCCATTCAGCGCCGATCGTCCACTACCGGTGGCGACGGTTTACCTTGGCGATTGTTACACCGGCGACGCATCGCTCCGGCGACGGTGACAGCAACAGGCGCCACGGCGCCACGGCGACGAGATACAGACGGGGGGGAACGCGGCGTGCGATCGACTCGCCGGCGAGTCCGCGGAAAAGTCACTCCCGTCCCGAGCGGAGAAAACACGCGGAGTGTCCCCGAGGAGCGTAACAACAGGATAAGTCGGCGCTTCTTCCTTCCAGCCGGTATCTTATCTCTCCCCCTTACTTTCCCTCCTCGTGTACGCGCTGCTCCGCCTCCTTATCGGCCCTCTCGTTGCGGCAACCTCGTTGCTTCGCCCGATGTCGACGCCGTTGAGTCTCCGCCGCTATCCTCGTTTCGACGACTCGCCGGTCAGCGTCGCCGCGGAAATTCAAGGGATCCGAAAATCTGCGGACCCGTCAACTCGCGTGCTCGCGTCAACCACACGGTCGGTCCCGCGCGCTTAAACGTGTCCGGTGATTATTCGCCCGCGATTATCGCTCAGCGAAAATCCGTCGCGCGGATCAGAATTCAGAAACGCGCGCGCGCGCACACGTGACGTGTCCGTTAAGCCAGCCCGGGTCCGTGGTCTCGTTCCAGTTTCGCTCGGCGCCGATCGTAAACGCCGGAAGCGGGCCGATTGTCGCGCGCCCGCGCCCGCGCACCGCGTCGTAAACAAGCGCGAAGGACGCTCTCGCGCGAACACGATTCGGCACTCCGGGATACCTCGATCGCGCGGAGGATACTCCGCCGGGGAGAAATTCCGAGAAGCGGGCGACGTTCGCCACCGGCCGCAGCGATCGGCCGCGCCGCCAGCAGCACGCGTGCGCGAACGCCGCGCGCGCGAGCGCGCGCGCAGCGTGTCTCCTTCCTCTGCTCCGACCTCGCTTCGCTCTCCCGCTGTCGCCTCGCGCGACTCACCAGCTGTGGCGTCGCGACGACGGCGGCGCGGCGTCGGCGTCGTCGTCGTCGTCGTCGTCCGCGTCGCGACTCGCTCCGGGAGACGCCGCGCTCGTCCTCGCCGCTCCCTCGCCTGCACCTGCGGGCAGAATTCGACGGTTGTCAAACGCTCCTCCGCTCCCTCTCTCTCAGGCCCTCCCGATCCACGCACGTGCGCGCACGTGCACCATCTGGCCGCGACTGGCCGCGCCGACACGTGCGGCCGCCGCTACCAAACATGGCCGTCTGTCAATCCCCTCCCCCTCCCCCGCCGCCTCCTCCTTCCTCCCCCCCCCCGCCCCCCACCGCCGGTAGCAGAAGACGCGGCGACGCGAGGCGACGTGACGCGCGTCGCGACGATCATTCTCCACGACTCGCGGAGACGCTCGCGAGCGTCTCGTCTCGTCTCCTTCGTTTCGGCGAGACTCCGTCGCGCCGGTCACCGGCGGCGGCGGCGCGCGCTAATCGCCCGGCCCCGCCGATCCGCCGCGCGAAATCTGTTACGATTCAACGCCGCCGAAATCGCGACTCGCGCGCGCGAGCGGCTCGCTCGTATCGCTCGAGTGAAAGTGCGCCGAATGCAGCCGACGGCCGCTCGAGTCGGTCTTCCGTCTTCTTCCGTCCATCTGTCTCTCTCCCTCTCTTTATCGCTCCCTCTCCCTCTCTCTCTCTCTCTCCTCTCTCTCTCTCTCCCTCTCGCTCGCTCGCAATCCCGCGCGCGAAGGCTGCCGTTGACGTAAACAAACGGAATATTCCCGTCGAAGCGTCGCGCGAAAGTGACGGCGATTTTTTTTTTAACGATTCACACGGTCCTTCGGTGTCGGTGCGCCCGGCAATTAAGCTTAATTTACGCGCCCGCGCCACCGCGGAAACGTATCCGCGCGCTCGAATTGAAACCGAAGAGAGCTCCGGACGCGGAAAATAAAAAAAAACACACACAAACCGAGAGCCAGAAGTGTTCGGCAATCCTCTCTTTATGCCGAACGCGCCGCTAATTAAGCGGCAGCTTATGGGAATCGGTCTTAATTGCCCTCGTTCCGATCGGATTTTTCTTTTTGTTCGCTTTGTTCTTTCAGACCGAACGCGCGCGGCGAGAGTGAAGCCAGAAATCGGCAATTTAAAAGGTCGTCGAGAAAACTTTCTTCGTCCCGGCACTTCATTAGCCTGTTTTATCGAGCCGCGCGCTTGTAAGTAGCGCGATTTTTACCGTTCATTTTGGAAGCCGGACAAAAAGCTGGACACTTAAATTTTACTCGGAAATACGTTTTCCATTATTTATACACCGACGACTCCCTCCCGTACCGGTTTCGCCCAGTGTCGCTTGACTTGAAGCTTGTAGCGAATTCGGTAGCTAGCACTAGCGCGCACTGATTGTGAGTGCACACTGAGGTGTGTTACAATCAATTCTTATATTTAAGGATCGTCTTAAATATCCCTTGAATTATTTCTTAGCCAGTAAAATAATTTGTATGGCATCCATGCGGATCACCGTTTGGCCAAACACTTTTTGAACTTGTGTCCGAGACAAAATTCAATATAAGAATTGATTATAAACACGCCTTAGTGTGCGCTCAGTGCGCACTAGTGCAAGCAATCGAATTCGCTATTAGTTCAATTCGTTCTTTGTCCCTTTCCAATTGTTACTTTAGAAAGAGACAAACGTGAATTAAACTAAATGTAAGATTAAAGCGAGGGGGGAAACCGCCGACCAAAATCTTGTACGCCAATGCCCACTAATGCCCAGCGGGCATTACTTTGTCTTATCTTATTATATCTCATCTATCTTGTTTTATTTTATTTTATCTGTACAATGCCCCAGCAAGGCCCAAACTAATGCCCCAAAAATGCCCAGTAATGCCCAATGATGCCGCAAATCTGTACACAATGCCCTCGGCGGTTTACCCCCCGGATTAAAGTTAGGCGACGTTTGGTGAAACCGGGCCTTAATCTTGAATCCTCTATTGCACGGCGACAAAGGTCTTTCGGTTTTGCGGCTGAAGGGAAAAGCATGAAGCTCCCTTTCAAACCGCGTTATTTATGGAACACAAAGTTATTATCGAGCGAAACGAGAAAACAATCGAGAGTCCCGAATACAGGCGGTTTCAACGAGGAGTACGGCTCCCGTTTACGCAGAAATAATTGGCGATCGATTAGTAATATCTTCCGCTCGAGAGCGTCGGGCGTTCGTTTAATTAATTCCTCTACGTACAGCGCAATTAACGGCGAATGGAGTAACGCTTTCTGCAAGCGCGAGGCGCCCACGAAATATACCGTCCAGTTCTATCGATGCGGATTAACTTTAATCTCGGCTTAATTTATTTTTTTACCGCTCCCTAGTTTCAGGAATTGGAAAAGGATAAAAAGTTAAACCGAGATTACATATAGATATGGACAATAGCGCCGAAATAAATGAACTTACTTTCTCTCTCTCTCTCTCCCCCCCTCTCCCTCTCTCTCTCTCTCTCTCTATCACTCTCTCGCTTTCGAACCGCTTCCGACTCGACGCCGTATCGCAATTGTTCAGAGACCTGTGGCGTCTGTCGTAGAATCGCGCACTTTTTCGGGCCTCGACAGCGACTACAAGCGCACGTGTAACGCCCCTTCGGCAAGTAACGCGTAACAATTAATATGTAATCGCGGGTCTCCCCGCGTGCCGGTCCGCGAAGTCGGCCGTAAGAAAGGCGCGCAGGAATGCGCGGATGCCCCGCTGCGATACAATTATTACCGTGACGCAACCGTTCATCCTTCTTACCGCATGGAAAGTGTCCCCCGCGAGCTCTAGGATGCAATTTTCGCCGAGCGCGAGCTCGCTCGCCACCCTCCGCCGTCCTCCCGCGATTGCCGCCGCTCGTAGCGAGTCGTCGACTCGTCGCGCGACGCCATCTTCCCCTCGTTCGCGCATGCGTTGCTCTGCGCCGTGCGAACGAGCGAGGCGCCCCCCCCCTCCCCCCCCCCCCGAGAGCCGACGATCAGCAGGCAGACGCTTACGCGGGGACCCAGCGCGTGCATTCGACGGCGACGGCCTCCGGTGAAGTTTATTGCAAACTTATTTATAAACTGCAGCGAGAGAAAACCGAGGAAAGGAAACCGCGTCCCGTGAACCGCCGGGAGTTCGCGGCGCGCGGGAAGTCACGTGACCGACGTCCGATTGGTCGTTTCGACGTGGCGGGCTCGTCGAGCCGGGCCGACCGGAACGCGTTAGAGTTCCACGATTTTCATCTGTGTTACTTTAAGGGGTTATTTATGACGGCGCGATTATACGATTACTTGACGTCCGCTTCGAAAAATCTTCGAGATCCAAGCGCCAAACCTTTGTCGCGTTCATTCAGAGCAGCTCCCGTCTCGTTTTCTCCGGGAGAACGAAATTAAAATAGATAGAGAGGATACGAGATAGCAGGTTTCCAACGCCCAAATTCAATCACAAATAACGTAAAGAATTATTTGACGCCGGTGCACGATTAACCAATGTAGAAAAATTGTTAAACGACGCTAACCGGCAAATTCTAATCAACAATTCAGCGGACATTAGACGTTTTTGCAATATCTTCTCAACGTTGAATCTACATTTCGTAACGTTGATGCAATGCTGTAATGGAACGTTTCTGAGATGTCGATTCAGCATTCGTGTGCTGTATGGGATGGTAGAACGAAAGGGCACTCTTCGTAATAAAACCTCGTTGATAGAAAAGGGTCAATAACACAGCGGATCGTAGATATTGATGCGTAATTGATTATGTCGATCGTATACGATTGCTTCGATAATAATCGACAAACATGCGGAGTGTGAACGTCCGGCTGATGTCTCCTCCATTTAATTTGCCACTGACAATGAGAGGAACCCAAAGCGAATCGAAACGTTTGGCGATCGTTACAGAAGCAATCATACCGGCATTAATATTTACGTGCCGGCATCTGCGGTCTGGCTCTTGTCGGCTCATCTCCAGCTGTTGAAGCGAGACGGTAAATAAAGCGACATACGCCTTGTTCTTTAATTATTATCGGTGACAAAATTAGAGCGAGCCACGAAAGGATCCAAAAGTTCGGTTAACCTCAAGACACGTTTTCCTTCGGAAAGACGACTTCGTTTACCTTCGTTTACGTTCATAATCCTTAAAATGATCTTGTAATGAAAACTCGCGATTAAAGCAGCGCCGTACATACAACATTTCGTTGAATCTAAATTAAACTAGCGTTTCTCGAAAAACTGTCCACGGGGGGAAACAGATTTAGTCGAGGGCTTTGGTAACGTCGTAAAAGAAAACGAATATACTGCGAGGTCCCGAGGAAATCTTTGCATTCTCGGATTAACGCGGATTAATCCCTACTTTCATTCGAATTACACTCCCCGGCGAGCAGGCGTTGATCGACTTAACCGTCGCCGTTCTTGCAAATCCCGATAAAGCGCCAAGCGCGAGGCTACTTGTTTATCTTAACGTCCGCGATAAAAAAAAAGCGCGTAAACAAGAAGCGCGGTGCGATAATCTCGGTGTAAACCGGCGCGATTAACAATCGCGCTTCGAGTTTGCCAGTTAAAACTGTTAACTGCAGCGATGCGGATTGACTCTGTCAATATAAAATATTAGTTCTGTACAACACAAGCTCCAGGTTTCCTTTCGCAAGTTAAAAAGGCTCCACGTTCCGAATTTCCACGAAGCAATCGTTCCATTAACGAGCAACAAAATATCGGAGCCAAAAGCACAATTTATAAGTCCGAGTACTTTCACAATAGATCTCGTGGCGAATCGGTTTCACCAGAACGGAAATATTGGGG